TAATAGACTTTTGATTTGGTGTTGGGAAAAATTCCTAACAGGAACAGTAAGAGGGAAACAATGCATAAAAGTTTAAATAGTGAAAGGACAATGTATATATTAAGAAAGAATCCAAAGACTTAAAAGAAGTTTAAATAGTGAAAGGACAATGTATATATTAAGAAAGAATCCAAAGACAAACACAAGAAGTGAGTTACCCACAAAAGTCTGCTTCTAAAATTAAAACTGCAGGATGCCTTTAAAGGTATTTGGAGCTGAGAGATTTATTTTCTGTACTGGGCTGAGAATTCACTCCTGGTTAGTTTTCTGTACTGTACTTTAACACGATTTAAGGCCGCGGATGTTTTTTTTTTTTTAAACTGTTCCGTTGTTACGGTGAAACAGCACAGCCAGGCATTTAAACCCTAGAGAGGAACCGATCTTAATCATTCAAGAAGCCGACTTTTTTTCCTTGTTCTTTCTCTCAGGAAACTATCAGCTAGGATGCTTGGAAAAGTTACTTTTTGAACTGCAGCCCGCAGCATCTATGTATTGTGGGACTCGTACGTAGTTCAAAAAGGAGCATTTCCACATTGCGGCTCCTATACCAGCTTGTTGTTGTTTAGTCACTTAGTCGTGTCCCGACTCTTGGTGACCCCACGGACCAGAGCACGCCAGGAAAGGCGGAGGTGAGGCAGGAATTGAAGGAGTGAGGGGCTTCGGTTGGCCCAGTGTGTGTCCACAGTTTTGGGAGGGGGAGTCAAATCACTCAGCTTACACACCAGCTTACTCAGGACTAAACCCCAGGGCAGTTGTTTCCCCAACCCGGCTGAGCGTCTAAACCACACAGTTGCTGCTCTCCTCCCATTGGCTCCTTCTCGCCTAGACGGGAATAATACGGCGGATTTCGCGTCCGTTGGGACAACCGCCCCCTTCGGCAGCGTTCTCTTTCTCGCGCCCCCCCCCCCCCCTAACGACTCACCGACGCCGCGCGCCCCTTTAGCCTCGTTTTAAAACGGCGCAGGGCAAGGAAGGGTTGAGGAGCATCTTAGGTCGGAGGGCGCGGGGAGGGGGGTTATTTCGGTTGTGATTGGCTGGAGGCAGCTGTCAATCTTATATATCACTATAAAAGGCGAGTTAGGGTTGTGGACGAGTTCAAGGCAAGCGTGAGTCCGTGACTGGCGCCGGGTGAGAGAGGTCCGTTCGAAAGTGGCGCGTGCCTGTTCGCCCGCCCAGCCACCCTGCCTCCCTCCCTCTTTCGTCCCCTCGCGTAGGTGAGAGGGCGTGGGTGGTCGCCGCAGGGAAGGTACCGGTTTCGGTTGTTGGTGACCTTATTTGTACTGGAGAGGAAGCGTCCTCTCCCGCTCGCTCGCTCACTCTTTCCTCTTCCCTCAACACTGGTAGAAAGGTGCCAGGCGAGTGGGGAGAGGCTAAAAGAGCCTCACCGCCGCCACCACGCGTTGTGGTAAACGTAATCTCTCATCTCGTAGATATTGAGCTCTGTCTCTTTGTCATGGGTGGCAAATTTCATACATCCCCCCCACCCCGGTCCGTCTCTGGTACGGTGAGCCTCTCCTCCCGGGGAAACAAATCGCAGTGGAGATCATGGGCCTTTCCCCTCAATGAGAGCCTGAGGTCAAGAGGGAAAGACGCTCTCACTCGCCACGTTTAAAAAGTCCCGTTGAAGAACGAGGCGCCTTGCGCGCTCGTTGCCAAAGCAGCCGATCTCAATCCAACTACCATCCAAAATAATCGAAGGCGGTTTGTTTTGAAAGGATAAAGGAAATGGGTCACACGGAGAAACGCATCGGTTTGAAGCCGTTGCCTTTGGGAGTAGAGCTGGACTAAGTTGGGGGGGAAGGGGCCAAGACGGTTGAAATGAGGGCCTGAGAGGCACAGAAGGCCGTTAAGGGCGGAGGGAAGGAGGAGAAGTGGCAATACTCTTTTGAGTTGGGGGTATGAAAAAAGGCAGGAAAGGCGGAGGTGAGGCAGGATTGAATGAGGGGCTTAGGTTGGCCCAGTGTGTCTCCGCAGTTTTGGGGGGGGGGTCAAATCACTCCTGCCTATTGTCTTCAGATGGTGCAGGTTTATCTCCAGGTATAGGAAGAAAGCAAGGCCTAGTTCCCCCCCCCCAAAAAAAACCCCACAGTTATATTTCAATCCGGAACTCAAAGTAAAATAATAAATATTTTTATTCCAGATTAAAAAATGGGGCAGTGAAGCATAATATTAATTCAAGTTGAAATAAGCTTACATATGCTCTAGGTGGTGCTGTTATCCACAAGTCACCACAATGTGCATCAACTAAGCTTGGCTTTTGAAAATACTGTTTGGGGACTAAGCCTGGGAGAGCTCAGGTTCAACCCAGGACCTTCAAAAGTTTACATTAATGAATGCTTATGGTGTAATAGGCAGGAACTTTGTTGAGTTCCTTGTGTTTGTTTTGTAAATCTTTAATACATTTCTGTTATGGGAGAATTTTCTGCCAAGAACTAGTGATTCATTTGTTGATGCAAAACAACAAATAATTATGGAGAACCTTAGAAAACTAGTCCTTTTTAGTTGGCATAACCTCATGTGGACTGACTGCAGTGTATTTCTTCAGGTGCAGTCCTTTGTATGCCATCACCTGTTTTTAACAAGCTCAGCCACCTTGAGCATATTTCTTTTGACCGTTTGCAGAGTACATTTCCCTCCATACATTTCCATCCAAACTCGAGGTTGTGGAATAGATAGTGCTTCTGGAAGTGCTACATATACAGGTGCTTGACTGAGGTTGTTTTCAGATAAGAATTTTTTTTATCCATTTGCTCTTCATTGTTAATGATGTTTCCCATCATCTGTTCTGTCCCACCCCACAAATAGTCTATTAAGGAGGAAAAAATTGCATAGTTTTTTGCATAAAACCTTTTTTGATAGCCTTAGGAGCTCCTTGGGTGGGAACATAATGGCATTGAGAAGTAAGTTTGATAGTTCTTGCTTGCTGTGCATTCTTTCAGAGAATAATGCCATTTGCTTCTTAGACCCACTTGTCTGTGATGGGATTCTAGGGCAGCACTATGCTTATAGCCTGCATGGAGAGTTATGTGCAGCTTTCCCCCTTTCTCCTGTGATATGTCTGTTCTTTCAGCATAAAAGCCTCATCTGAATTAATAAGAGTAACTTCACTAGATGTTTTTCCTTAGTTTGTGTTCTTCAGTTCAGTCATACCTATAAGAACGAGCCAAAATGCATAGCATAGTAAATTGCAATTAGAGTAGGCCCATTTGAATCATGAATCTTTTGGAGGGGTTGTCTCACTAAATCTCCACTGAATCAGTGGGCCTGTTCTAGTGCTATTTATTATATTAAGCAATAGGATTTTGGCTAATGCAATCTAAAGCATGCTCCCCAAAACATTTTCTGCTGTGCACAGGTATATTGCACACTTTATTTAATATACTGTGTGTATCCTTATTTAGAAATCGGTAGGTTCTTCATCATTATCTCTGCTTCGTGTATGGCTTAGCACTGTGCAGAGCAGCAGTTTGAAACTTTTACATAGAGTTTTTGGGGTACAGTAGTTTTACCCCTCCTCCCTATAGTGTACATGTGAGCAATATCCTTAGGCTCTGCATCATCTGCTTGCAGCTCATAGTAGAGAGACAGTTCACTACTACCAGCTGTTAGTATTCTGGTTAGCTCATATCTTGATTATTTTCTCATTCTATATTTGCATTTTTAGCTATACATATTCTGGACTTTTATTTTGAATAGTTTTTAGTTTTACACTCTCCTTAGGCCTGTATTCCCAGGAGCATTCTGTATATAGTGTGCCAATTGCAGAAGAAAAATTCACATCCCAGATGGACATGGCAAGTATCTCTTTCTGTCTTGGAAAAGAGCATAAAGCTTCTACTAAATCTTGCCAGTCTTTCAGTAACTCAGTTCAGCAAAACGGGAACTCTAAATTATACCTTCCAGAAAAAGCCATCTGTTTTCAGCAGTCCTGAAATGTTTTCAGCAGTAGATGGCTAGGTCTCGTTAAAGTTTTTCCTGCACATGTGTTAGTAGCTGACATTTCAGTGATATTGATTATAACCCTTAGTTTAATTATTGCCCATGATATTGTAGTGATGCTAGCAAACCAAGAATGGAAAAGAGAATAGTAGATCTTCCTAATGAAAAAAAGAAATGTCCCTCTGGGACACTTTTCCTGCACTAATTCGCCATACGGGAGATCTTTAGGAATCCGACCATCAGCCATTCTCATGACATGCCCAAGCCAATGTAGACATTGCTGTTTCAGTAATGTATACATGCTAAAAAGTCCAGCTTGTTCTAGAACTATTCTATTTGGAACTTTGCTCTGCCAGGCTATACCAAAAATGCATCTGAGACAATGCATATGAAACGTGTTCAGCTTCCTCTCCTGCCGTGCACAAAGGTCCAGGACTCACTGCAGTACAGGAGTGTACTCACGACACAGGCTCTATAGACCTGGATCTTTGTACATGTGGTCAGCTTTTTATTAAGCCATATTAAACATATTAAATATGCCTTTAATATCTCCCAGTTGGAGCTTATTCCTGAGCATCCACCTAAACAGTTGGTAGTTGTTGAAATTTCTCCTCCAGCTTAAATTGACTGCCACCCTCCTTCTGAGACACAAATCATTGACACTATGTTCAAGGGGGAGATCCAAGAGGAATCCATTCTAGCCGAAACCATCAAGCCAGTTCCACACAGCAAACTCAATATCTAGCAGCTGTCCATTGTCTTACCGCTCAGAACTCCTCTGACTGCTCCCAACACGGAAAGTAGTCTCAGTCTCCAAGTAGATATTGTCATGAACACCTGCCATCTCCCAGCCAATACTACCAACCCTCCTGCAGAGTATGGTTGACAGCAGTGCTTACTAAGTCTCTAAGAAGATATTCCTCTCTCTGTCCACTCATTACATTATGACTTTCAACTGTTAACTCACTGCCTGGCTCATCAATCTACAGCATTTAATCTGTCAATTGCAGTGTGTCCTTTTGCCATGTACTGTATGTCTGCAATCATTTCATTATCAGAAATCCTTAAAGAACAAGATTCCACTTTGTTTATAACCATCCCTATTTTCATAGATCAGAAGTCCCCAGTTTTTTGTATCAATTGACTGTATTAAACAAAAAATGGGATTTACGTTTGATACTGTCCAATGTGCTAGCTTGCATGTCATTTAATCTTTCCTCGGGTCTTTCATAACTAAAATAGGCCCATCAATGCCTCTTTTACGCCTCTTCTGTCATCACCCCACAAACTACCTTGTACTACCTACTGGCAAGTAGGTATGAATTTTTTATACTATTAGATCTAATGTTGGTTCAATATATTCAGTTGCTTCTTTATTGAGTCAGCTTCTCTAGGGCCTAATGCAGGTGACCAGTCTCCTATATCACCATCTGAAGATCACTCTCTGTGCTGAACTTCTGGTTTGCTTGGCAAAATGCTTGCAGATTCTATACAGAAAGGAAAATCCATTAGAAAATTGATGAAAATTAAGAAAGCACCTGGGGAGAACATAACAATTTCATCAATGGAAGGGCTGCATAACAGTCAGGAAGATGGCTGTTGTGGGTTTTTCAGGCTGTTTGGTGTGTTCTGGAGGTTTTTCTTCCTAACGTTTCACCAGCCGCATCTTCAAAGGACAGGAGCTAGAATTCTGTCTGTCCTCTGAAGAAAAACCCACAACAACCATCAGATCCCGGCCGTGAAAGCCTTCAAGAACACATTCAAGAAGATTACTGTGAGTTATTATCAAAATAACCAGCAACTTGGTGTGACTTCATTCATGGGAAAAAGTTGTTGTTGGTTACTGACAAAGAAGATCAGTGCTTCAATTATGGAGTAGAAAGCATCTTGTGGAATTAATAGTTCTCAGATTTGCCAAGCATAAACATATCTAGCTATTTATGATCTGGCAAGTTTAATGGAATCTATCTGCTGAAAAAAAGAAGTCATCACTTTTTTTAAAGCAGGAACTGTCTCTTAGCAGCCGATCATTTCAATGAGTTATCCAGCAAAATGTGTTGTGTACTCTCACATAGGTGTTGTCCCTTTGTGTTGCCACTCTTGGCTGTGATCTACAGCTTTACCTCAAAACAATCTCACAAAGATTGAAGAAACATGACCACAAACTTTCAAATGCTGCCTATTTGATTGGTGTCATCTCTGACTCACAGCATTGCTCCTCCAGTTGGTCTAGATTAAACACTTATGAGTACTGCTAACTAAAGATGGAGGTATTTGTATATGAATATCCCCCCACAGGTGGCGATAACAAGGGTCTGGCCCCATGGGGCCGGATGGTCCACTCACTGATCCATTGCAGCTGTGGACGCCACAGTTCTTCCAATGGCTTTGCATATCACAATTGTCTAGCCACTCCTGGTAGGAGGCGAGAGGACAAACCTCGCTGCAAGGTTGAAGAGTGGCTCACAGATCACAATCGGCAGAGCCATTGGAAGAATTGCGGAGTCTGCAGTAGCGGCGGATCGGTGAGTGGCCCATCTGGCCCCATAGGGCTGGACTCTATCACCACCTGTGCGGGGATATTTGTACAGTGGGGTCTTGACTTGAGAACTTAATCCGTATTGGAAGGCGGTTCTCAAGTCAAAAAGTCTGTAAGTCAAGCCGTCTGTAAGTCAAGGGTCCACTGTATACGAATACCCCCATCTCTATTGCCAACCATCCAACTTGGAACAATTGTTACTTCCATTTCCCAGAGGCTTAAGCAGTCTTCTTAAAAATGAAAGTCTTAAGGACTCAAAGTGCAGTTTTTGATTCCTTCTCATCAACACTTCTGTTTAGCCGTCCATTCTTTTCTCTTTTTTTGGTTCCAGACTCACGCAGCATCTTGAGGCTTGGCAAAACAATGCATTGATGAGTTCTCTCTGTTATCCAGTGGGGTTATTGTACAGCATATGGCCATCTTCTGTATGGAGCATTTTGTTCAATTTTTCCCTTGATAATTTTACCAGAAGATACTACTTACCAAAGGAGCCATGAAATCAATATCACTGAATCAATACCATGTCACCTATTTTCCCTGGTGCTTCATGGTACCAAAGAGAAATTGAAGTTCTGAGCAGCATTTGATTTATGAAGCATTGCCAAATTTGTCATCAAAAGATACTATTGAATGGTTACTGATGCTGATCTTTTGCTTCTCAAAGATGATTGGTTTGCCACAACTGATCTGAAGGACACATATTTCCCAATAGCTATACACCTGTCCCATGCAAGTTCTTTTGCTCTGCTCTTGATAATAACCTTTATGAATTCCAGGTCTTTTTACAGGATTGAGAGTATTAACCCAGACATTGACAGTCATCATAGGTGAACTGCAGAAGAAGTGCATAGTGTTCTTGGTTAATTGATGCCACTTCAAAACATCTTGTAGACTGTCTTGATGTTGTAATTATGTGACTTCATAACATGGGCCTTTCTGTCAAGAGTAACAAATTTCCAATTGCTCTGAATCAAGATATCAACTTCAACAAAGTAAAACTGAGTTCACACTCTGTTATTATGGTTATTTCAGAGGGCATTAAAGATAGTAGACGTGGTTCACTTTCTCACTTCAAGCAAAGAGTGATAGCACTGTCCATTCTCAGGCTTTTTGAAATTACAGCCTCCACAGGTGTGGTCCTCTTGATTATGAGTGTCATGACAGTGGATTTGCCCATGTTATTAGGAATCAACATCTGTCAGAAGGCTTAATGTATATGTTACAAGCTTGTAATGTGCATACTTGGAAAGGTGGAAAGAGTTAACACCTAAATGAAGGTAGTGTGTGGTATCAGTAGTGATGCTGCTGAGGACTCACAACCAGTCAGGTTGATGGAGAGATTTTTAAATACATATCCAGCAAGATCTTTCTTTTTTCTCTTTTGGGTTCTTCCTCTTTCTAGTTGGTCATGAGAAAGAGCTGATTCCCAGGACAGTGGAATGTGAGAGACAACAAGGTACTGTGAGCAGAATCAGGGTAGTAAATAAGCTAATTATTTATTTATTCAGTTTTTATCCCATCTTTTTCCAGCAGTGTGACCCAAGGTAGCTTTACACTGATGCATGCGGCATGCTTACACTCCATTTGTTGGGCAAAAAAGATCACTTTGCACATCTTCTCAGCAAATCTCACAAAGATTCCCAGGAGTGGGAACTTCATTTCTAGAAGTTGAACCAAACTTGGATCACTAGACAAGATCCTCTTGGCACAGTTCTGCTGGCATTGTTTAATCAGGATGTCAGAAATAATTAAGATTGTAAGAAATTAATTTTAATTTATTTAAAAGTAATTTTCTCCACCCCACCCCCGGGCCACCCTGTTTATGCTTAAAAGGCTCTCTAGAATTTTCTTTCCTATTAAAAGGTCCCTTCCAGTGTCCTGAGGCTCTCAAAGGATATTGTTCATTATGCTCTAACTAGAAGCCACAGATACACTGAAATAAAGTGGCAGTTGGCCAAGATTTTTTAGGAAATACATGTTTTCTTTCCTAGTGTCATGTATCTTTACATGCTCCTGCCTTTTGTGCTCATGAGAGTCCTATTGAAACTTATGAGGAAGAAGCCATGTTGCACATTTGTTTTTATCTGACGGCCAAAGCAACTTTGCTTTCCAGTTTTTCATGTATCATACTAAGTCTTCTGTTGACTGTCTCTTTGGCTTGATATCAGTTCAAAGGAAACAATCTTCCATTCCCCCATCTTCACTCTCAAGCTCACAATAGGGAGGACCCATTCTTAGAATGCTAAAGATTAGTTGGGCTTTAAGGAAGCTGTTCATACAGTGTTCTTCAAGTAAAAGTTTTGGATATTTTGCTCTTTCATAAAAACTTCAGGTTTAATTATGACAACTGATCCCTTTAACAGGGTTTACAGTTTCTGGTTCCACTTTCAGGTAATTTTGGTGTTTTTTTCCATAGAAGTGTACTTGGCCACTGTGTCACCTAATCTTGTCCCACAATTTATGTTGCAATTGTCTGTTCTTGCTCTCTCTGAAGTTCAAATTCCTCTAAGAAATGGCATGTCATTTTCCAACACTACTGGGGCTTATCCTTTGTCTTGTCTTTAACCTAATGGATAGTAAGGCCCATCATATTGGCCTACCAACTGGCAAAAGTACCACTATCAACCATGCTAGAGAGCCATTTCACTGGAGCTATGATTGCATGATTTGGAATGTACTGTATCTCCTTGCCTGAATTGTGTTGAACTGCCTGCTAATCTCAAACATGGATCATTATGACATGAGATTAGTTCTCAGAAGAATACTTTCTTTGATACAGGAATTCTTGCAGCTATGCTCCAGTGGTTGAATGCACCTACCTGCCTGTCTTCATAGATCTTGCAGGTAAGCTTGCTAAATTTTACCTTGTTTATGGTGCATAAAGATTATGACAAAGAAAAAGAAGTTGCTCACCTATAATCGTTTTCTGTATATTCAGACAACCTGCCTTCTCTCTCCTCTCTAGCACGTGTGGTTGATTACTGCTGCCTCATCTGAATTTATGAACTGATGGAGAGCTTGTTCATGCATATACTTTAGGGAGGAGGTGTGAGTCTTAACACAGAACTATATATAAAAGATTCCATACCATGGTTCTGTATAGGTACAGACCCATAAATTGTTTAATTAAAATAATTAAATTCATTAATAAGCATTCAGAGGAAGAACAAACATTACAAATAAGCGGGCTGTTTGTATGTTTTGCCCATGAGGTAGAAAAAAATTGTGTTCTTTATTAAACTAATATAATAAACATTTTCAGGTTTTCTTTAAAAATACTACAAAAATGAGTGAAGAAAACACAGATGCAACTACTAGCTGCAGCAAAGTTAGAACCGGTACTCAGAATGAAGCTGCCTTACTGGCTCTTATGGAAAAGACAGGTTACAACATGGTTCAAGAAAATGGACAGCGAAAATTTGGTGGGCCTCCACCAGGTAAGGAAGTACACCAAAACATATATTCCTGTTTTACACTTAATCATACCCAATAGGTTTCTCAGCCTTTTGACTGAGATCAAGTATATCCTCTTTTGAATTTTAAGTTACACCATTTGTAAAATTAACCATCAACACATGTAAAATAGATACAAAAACTCTGTGGTTAGTTTCCTAAAGTAAGTGGCTAGATTTGTTACTGGTTCACTGTACAATAAGCGTCATACTTTTTGACAGTATGATCTGTCTATAGTTAAAATGAAGTACTGAATTTAAACTGATCACTCTGAAGTGAATCTGGGTGAATCTGTGATCCTAAGGATTCCCTATTAGAAACAAGTTAAAATTGGTTATTACCATATTTTTCAGTATGTAAGACTAATGTATAAGACACCCCCTTTTCTAACCCAAAATTAAGAAATCTGAGTGGAGCTTAACAAAAGGAGGGGGGAAAGGGATCAAAACAATCCCACAACTGCACGATCCCTTTGATCTCTTTCTCTCTCCTTTTGCTAAGCAGGGCTTAGCAAATGGAGGGGAAAGCAGGGATCAAAGCGATCCTGCAGCGCTTTGATCCCTGCTTTCCCCTCCACTTGTTTTTGTTCTCTCCTCAGCTTCCGTGTATAAGACGGAATCCCTTAATTTTTAGTCTTAAGATTTTAGACAAAAGCATCGTCGTATACACGGACAAATACAGTAAGTGTAAGCCATACTAATTTAAATTAGTCACAAAAATAACATTCAAAGGTCTTAGGGAGACAAGTTTTAAACCTGAATTTAATAGCTGGTGAATTGGGTTCTTTTATCCATTATGTGTAATGTGTAAGAAATGACAATATAGAAAATTCCTAATTTGTGTTAACAGCAGAAGTGTAGTGGCAGGGGTATGAAAAGCATTAAAATTCATATTATTAAAGTATTTTGTCACAACATTTGTATTAATATGGTGCTGAATAATTTTTTTAAGGTTGGGAAGGTCCTCCACCACCCCGAGGCTGTGAAGTTTTTGTGGGGAAAATTCCCCGTGATATGTATGAAGATGAATTAGTTCCTGTTTTTGAAAGAGCTGGGAAGATCTATGAATTCAGGCTGATGATGGAATTTAGTGGTGAGAATCGTGGATATGCATTTGTAATGTATACAACCAAAGAAGAAGCTCAGCTTGCTATTCGAATACTTAATAATTACGAGATTCGTCCTGGAAAGTTTATTGGTGTTTGTGTAAGTTTGGATAATTGCAGATTATTTATTGGAGCTATTCCAAAGGAAAAGAAGAAAGAGGAGATCTTAGAAGAAATGAAGAAAGTCACAGAAGGTGTGGTAGATGTCATTGTGTATCCAAGTGCAACTGACAAGACAAAGAACCGTGGTTTTGCCTTTGTAGAGTATGAATCCCACAGAGCTGCAGCAATGGCAAGGAGAAAACTAATTCCTGGTAAATCTTTTCGCTTTTACATATTATATTAATTTCTGTTACTCTTGAGCACCTCACTCTAAGGATCTGAACATTGTTAAGGGCCAAGCTCAGTGTGATGGTGGGAAATCCTGGAGCTCCGCTTATGTAGAAATTGGTAGTCAGTGGTAGTCTAATTTTAAGGGCAAAATAAATACAGTACATAAGTGAGAAGTGCAGAGGTCTTTGCAATGAAATAGGTGCCTCTGAGACAATCTTTCATTTTGTATAAGAAAGTTAGGTAAGAAAGGCTACAGTGGAAAGAATATTTCAGTTTTGTTTAAAGGCAGTCATTATTATATGTTATCACCATGTGCACTTTTCTGAACGCTTAACAAGAAATGAGGATTTAGAAGTGTGAAGTTCAGTTTAAGTTAGCTGTTTCATGAATATGTTCCTTCCATTGTCAAGTTAACACATTGGCAGGCAAATTAGCTGTGTTGCTCTTATTGGTTTCTTTTTTCTCCAAGTATTTTTATATCCCATTTGTTTGTTTTTATATTTTAGAGTTTTAGGGATAGCTCTAATCTAGCCTTTCCATTCACTGTGTCATTCTACTAAGCTACTTGAAAGACACATTCAACAAATGTCAAGTAACTGCATTAATACTTTGCATAATTTTTTCTAAAATTTTATTAATAACATTATAAACATAACTAAGCATTACAAAACCTTAAAAAACTAGTAATGTGAAACTTCAAAATAATTATATTACAAGTGCTCCTCCCTGGGGACAATTGATTATCTGTTAATATTGTGATATTAACAATATTAATATCAATATTAAGATATCTGATAATATCTTCCCTTCTCTTGTTAACACATAATAAATTCTCTCCAGATACCCATGCAAATAGACCTTTTAAACAATCTGTTTGTTGCTTTAACATTACATGTTAGCGAATCATTTATAACTATTCTATACTTCTTTATACCATTCATTTAATTGTTGTTGCAGACATGAATTTTAATATTCCTGTATCCCATATTTTCTCCAAACTCCCAGTACTTATTTCTTCCCTCAAATCATATTACCGTAATGATTTAAGTGAATCTCGTTGATCTTCCTCTTCAAGCATCATTTTATAAATTTTGCTTACTAAACCTTTCATTATTTTATTGTCATCTCCTTTTGTAAAACCATTTCCTCCAACATCATAAGTTCCCTACATTTACCATTTTACTTGCCTAAGAAAGATTTGCAAAATATGATTAATGTATGAAGAAAATTATATTATAAATGGAGATAAAAACACAGGAATTAATAAAAAGAAATGGTATAAAGCTCAGAAAATAGGAGGGTTGGGACTTCTTAATTTGAGGAAATATGTTACTAATCAGTTAAGACATCTAAGGGATATTATCTCATGCCTTAAGAAAGTAATATGGGAGGATATGGAGTCATTAGAATTAGGTTCAAATTTTGAGAATATTCTTTTCAGATAATCTAATAAGAATAGAATTAAAGACATTGAAATCCCTTTCCTTAAAAACATGTTATTAATGTGGAATGTATTGAAAAATATTTAGTCCAACAATTTCCCAGCCTGGTGGCAAACCAATTTTGAGAAATTTGGAGAATTTATTGAGAGGAAACCAAGTTACTAGATTAAAGGATTGCTTAAAAACATGGGGAATAAAAAACAAATAAAAGACATATTAGGAATGGAGAAAGTATCTTGACTTAGTTTCATACCATTAGAGCACTGAACAAAATATTTTGCATAATTACTCAGAGGATTTTTACTGTTATTAACACATTATACAACTGGAGCAGTGGGCAAAATATTTTGCGTAATTAGCCTAAGCATTCTACCATTCTTAACACATTGTAAACTGGCTAGGAAGCTTAATGACTCATTATCTGGCTCTGGAGGAGGAGGTTGGGAATTCATTTCCCCACTGTGACTCCAAGAAGAGCCTCTGTAGCCCTGGGCAAGCTGCACAGTCCCAGGATACCCCCAGAAGAAAGGAATGGTAAACTACTACCGTGTATTCTCTACCTAGAAGACTTTGAAAAGAGTTAGAATTGACTTGTCACATAATAAAAATAACAACACTTGCACATATAAAACATTGTTAAGAAGCACCTGGTAGCAACAATCTGCTGCAGTGCAATATCTCTCATGCACCCAGCTTACCAGCACAGATTTCTCTTTTCTGAATTGTAGCATGAGAATTCGGCTGCTGGAGCAGTCAAGCTGCTTAGAGCTTTTGGGCCAGTCCTCTCCACCCCCTCTATTCCCAGTATGCATTTGTCATGGGAATGGTGCTTCATGAATATTTGGCTTGCATGATCAAAGTCATTACCAGTGGAGTTCTGGTCTCAGCCAAACGACAGTTTTGCATTGTACTTTGTTTTATATTAAAGGTAGAAAACCCTTCATGAGACCTTGTTGAAATGCAATGTTGATTTGAAAATGTTACAGTGGGGTCTTGACTTGCGAACTTAATGTGTATTGGGAGGCGGTTCGCATGTCAAAAAGTTCGCAGTTCAAAATCTGCATTCCCATTGGAATGCATTGAAAACCATTTGATCCGTATCTGCTTTTTTCCGGCAATAGAAAGACACCCGCACAGGCAAGGAAAGCAGGGGAGAAAGAGCGGGCGTGAGGGGAGCCTGTACAGGAAGGAAGGAAGGAACCGAGAGGGGAGGGAGAGAGGGCGCGCCGCGGAGGCTGGGAAGGAGCGGGTGGGACCCCGAAGGCAGCCCACCCGGCCCCGCGAAGCCTCCGGAGGGAAGAGCGTCTGGCCGAGGGCGCCTGAGGGAGGTATGGACGGAGGGAAAGGGTCTTGCGGGTCGAGGGAGGGCAAGAGGAAAGGACGGGGAGAGGAAGCCCAAAGCCCACCTCACCCGAGTGCCGGGCAGGTGTCTCACAGGGCAGGGCAGGGGAAGAGCCGGCCTGAGAAAGGGTGGCGAGGCACGCCGGGGAGAGCGGGAGCAGAGAGGGGAAGGAGGGAGGGAGGGCGTGCCGCGGAGGCTGGGAAGGAGCGGGTGGGACCTTGAAGGCAGCCCACCCGGCCCCGCGAAGCCTCCGGAGGGAAGGGCGGCGGACTCACCTCACGGCTACCGGAGGTGCTGAGCGTGGCGGCAGCGGCACGGACTCCCCCTCAGCCGGCCTGAGCGGCGGCGGGAAAAGGAGGCAGCCGGGTCGAGCGGCCGCACTGGCGCGCTGCCTCCCTCGCGTCTGCCCAGCCAATCAAGCTTTTTTCCCCGGTTCCTTACTGTTCCTTACCGCTCAGCCACCCAGCTATGCTTTTGCCCTATTGACTCTCCCCGCCTCTCGTGCTTCCCCCCCCCCACTTTTTGGGTTCGTATGTCAATTCTCCGTTCGCAAGTCAAAATGGATTTTTGTGGACAGAGAAGTACGCAACTCAAAAAGTTCGCAAGTCAAGCCGTTCGCAAGTCAAGACCCCACTGTATAATTTTATTTGCTACTCCCAGTTGCCAGTATTGTGTCTCCATGGGATAAATGGTTCTCAGCGACAAATTACTGTTTAGGGGTACCGGGGTGTGTGCATGTATCAGTTCATGAATTGCATTTCTCATTTTGACATGAGGCAACCAGCAAGAAGTGAACTGCCCCCAGAGGATGGGGGGTCACATAATGACCTTCTCGGTGCTTTTTGGTCCCTAGCCCCCTGCTCTTTCTTGCCTACAGTTTCTCTAGGACAGAGCTCTCCTTTGTATTTGTAAAAGCTTTTGAGTAGGAGATAATGGCAGTGGAAAATGTGGGAAACCACAAACATATAATTTAACTAAGCAATGTCAGTCATAGGCATACATTTACAAATATAAAATGTATTTAAACAAAAACAGTAATTGTTTTAGGTGGTGGTGGGGATCTTGTTTCATACCATCAAGGCTCCTTTGCCCAACCTTTCTCATATATGAGTGAATATAAAAACAAACATTGGATAATTAGAAGTAACCATCTGTTCTTACTGAATATGTGTGTGTTTGAAATCATTATTTATTGCATTTTCTAATTGCATGTTCATGTGGGAAAACAATTTCATGTGGAGCTTTATTTGGGTTAAGTATCATGAAAGAAATCAGATGCAGAAGGTGTAATAGAGCATTACCTAGGTGCTTTGACAGTATCCTCCTTACAAATATAATGAAGTATTGCTTAACCTTTAGCCACTAACTTTGTGTTCTATAATACAATAATAAACGTTTATAAACAGAATAAATATAATAATTACATCAGATAATAGAATATACTATTAAATATGTTCTTGTTGTGAAATTTGGAAGCTTTTTCCTCAGAAGTTGCCTCTGGCCTCTTCCTGAACAATGATAAATGAAATATAGAAGCTGTAGGAGAGGAGAATCACTTTTAATTGGGCTGGGGGCCTCCAGATTGTCCCCTCACCCAACAGTCCTGTATACCTTCTCTGATATTGCTTAAGATAAATCTTCAATCCTTGGGAAAAGGAAGAAAGAGAGAACTGAACTTTCCTCCTACACAATTTCTTGATTGAACTTACACTAAAGTGGAAACCATTCTTATTCCACGAAGCATTTAGCTTCATGAGGTTAATTACATCTTCAGTCTTACCATGTTTATTTTTTAAAATGTTTTTTCTTTATGGCTTTAAACTGTTTTACATTTGAAGTGTGCTGGCTTGGAGGATGAGTTGGAAAGGGAAAGGCAGGACAAAAATGTTACTATAAATAAAATTAAAGAGAAATTGATATACATTGTTACATTTTACATTTCTTTCGTAGGAACATTTCAGTTATGGGGCCATACTATTCAAGTAGATTGGGCAGATCCAGAAAAAGAAGTTGATGAAGAAACAATGCAGAGAGTTAAAGTATTGTATGTTAGAAATTTGATGATCTCTACTACAGAAGAAACAATCAAGACTGAATTTAACAAATTTAAGCCAGGAGCTGTTGAGCGTGTAAAGAAACTTCGAGATTATGCTTTTGTTCACTTCTTTAATCGAGATGATGCAGTTGCTGCTATGTCAGTTATGAATGGGAAATGTATTGATGGAGCTAGCATCGAGGTGACGCTAGCAAAACCAGTTAACAAAGAGAGCACTTGGAGACAACATCTTAATGGTCAAATTAGTCCCAGTTCTGAAAATCTTCTAGTCTTTACAAATAAAGAAGATAGTCATCAGAAGTCTCTAGCAAAACCAGCAACTCTTCCAATTCGCCTTAATGGACAGCATAGTACAAGCCCTCCTGAAATTGAAAGGTGTACTTACCCATTTTTCCCAGGAATAAAGCTTACTCCAGTTAGCATATATTCTTTAAAATCTAGTCATTTTAGTTCTGCAACAATGCAGTTAGATTATTATTGCAACAAAAATAACTGGGCACCTCCAGATTATTACTTATTTTCAACTACAAGTCAAGATGGAAAAGTATTGCTCGTGTATAAGATCATTATTCCTTCTGTTGCAAATGGATCCCAGAGTCATTTCATGCCAGACAAGCTCTGCACGACAGTAGAAGATGCAAAAGAATTAGCAGCACAATTTGCATTGCTGCACTTGGGTAAGTTCTTAAAATTCTAATTTTAATTAACATAAATCTGATTTTTATATCATTTTAGAATAATCTGTTTATACCCAACAGAATTTCAGTACTGACTCCCAGTGTTTAGTAGGCAAATCATGTAGAAATCTGTGTCAGACTAGACTACAAGCTTACTTTGAACCAAAATACCTTCTAATGTTCAGCCCTGCCGCTCACGACTCCTCCCCTGTGCACACTCAGGGTTCCATTGTGACTCGGAACCAAAGGGCCTGCACAGAGGAGGAGGAATGTGTGGAGGGAGGTGGAGTCATGTGCATGTACACAGCTGCACGCCTTAGAGAGGTCCTTGCTTTGAACACATATTGGCAAGAATCCTGTTGACATTTGCATGAACTTTACATAACCTGACATATCTAATTGTGCTTAATTAATGAGCCTTCACGGTATGTCTTGGTTGCATGCCTGGTTACATGCCTGATTGTGCAACCAAGACATAGCGTGCCATCTTGCCAATTAGCTGCAGCAAGTTACACAAATCTTAAAGAACACTAGGATTTCAACCATTTAGAAGAGGTGGCATACATTTGTCAAAATACTTTATCATAATAGGTGATTTTTCTCAACTTCATGTCTTACATTTGTTTTGTCATTGCTTATTCAAAGATAAGGGAATTGAGTTAATAAAAGGAAATAGAATTTCCCTTTAAATTTCTAGTTTAACCCTGTGTTTTGTGTTCCAAAATGTTTAGTTCTTCGTGGCCTCTGTGAATGCACACAGTTGGGTTGTTCTGCGCCTGCACTGAATGTCTCGGAAGTTTCTAGAGCTTAAAGACACATGATTAATGGGACATTCCCCCATGGAGCACATGCTCCGCCCATCCTAGATCCCCCTCAGTTCCTTTTTTCTGCCATGTCGTTAAGACCTGTTTCAGAAGAATAGAGCAATTTGTCAGTTTGAGCGTCCAGATCTATCATATTTCAAATTTATCCTCCTTATGTCCAATCATACAATCGATGTTCCCCTGTAAGTTCATTCTAATTTTCATCTACCCATGTTTTTGCTTCCCCTCCTTCTCAAGCCAATTTTCCTTCCCTTTCCCCCTTTCTTTATGGCCTCACCCAGCCCTTTTAAGCGGTGCATTGTTTGTGCCAACAGAATACCTCTAACCGACGGGCACAAAAGCTGTTTGTTTTCCCTGGGTGAACAACATCCCACCCATTCCTGTGTAGTGTGGAAAGATTAATGAAGCCAGCCCTCAAACTTTGGTGTCAGAGATTAAGGTCCAACCTTTGAGAGAAGTCTCTCAACCCTCCAGCGTCGTCTATGGAGACCGCACAGTCCCCAGACCCTCAAGTAGAGCGGCAAATCCCACCACAGCCAGCTCCCAGCTCAGTGACTCCTTCTCCGCATCCCAAGGAGAAGTCCGAGAAATAGAAATCAGCATCGAAATCAGTATCGAAGATCTCAGCTCAAGCCCCAGATTCTTCTAAAGAGAAGAAAGATAAAACAACTTCAAAAAAGGTTGAATCTTTTCATATTGACCCACCACAACTAACTTTGCCATGTCCTGTCATGGAAGAATCATCCAGAGATGCTCCAAGATCTACATCTGAGAGGGAAGAGCCTTCTCTACCTTTGGCCCAAGCGCCAATCTCAACTGGCAGCCTGTCGCCTAATACCAGCTTTTCTCCGGCTGACGTGCAATCCAGCCAGGTCTCGGCCCATTCTAGCCCTCCTTCATCAGAGTGGGCAATTGCAATAGAACTTTCCGGCTCAGAGTCATTTCACCACTCTCCCAGGAAGCACCGAGAAAAGCGTAAACACCTTTCACCTCCTTGGTATGTCCCTCCATACCAAGAATACTATTACTATCCTCAATCCTCACAATATCAATCTCGTGATGAAGAGAAGGAGATGTATTATCACTATGGTCCGTACCTAATTGAAGACTCTCAAGAACAACTTCACTATGAGGAACACAAAAGAGTCAGATATGCACTGCCATACCCATCTCAACATTCACTATCATTCTCGCCATCTCCACCTCCTTACCAACATCAATCTCAATATTCCATGTCCACTTATCCTACTGTTCTAGCCAAACCAACTTTGAAACACTCTGCCGACTGCTCAACATTCACACTCGAAATGATCCAAACACTCCTCTAAAGGCCAAATTTCATTACAAGTCACCACTCGAGAACTCACGAGTGGTCTTTAGATGATACCATCTTTGACCTCGTGCCAAATATATTGCTCTCGAGCTGGAATCGACAAGAACTCTATAGGAGATGCGTTCACGGTAGACTGGGACAGCGGTCTACTTTACCTCTTCCCACCAATACCACTCATAAAAAAATGATCATTTGGCTCTATCACTTCCAGGCCAATGTGATCCTCCTAGCTCTATGGTGGCTAGGACAACCATGGTTCACTCACCTCAGATCAATGTCAACGGACTCATTCCAGCTCCCTCTTATTCTCAATCTTCTCACACAGGACAACAGGATGGTCTACCATCCAGACATACCATCTCTGAATCTGACAGCCTGGAAGATACTCCCACCATAAAAGACGTCCTCGATCGAGCTCGGAAGCCCTCGACCCAGCTCCTGTATCAAAATAAGTGGAAAGCATTCCTCCATCGCAGAATCAAACAACTTACCTGCATTACCAGTCTCCTTAAAAACTCTACTCACCTTTCTGCTTCAACTGTTCAACTTTGGACTGTCTTATTCTACCTTAAAAGTCTATACAGTCGTGCTCCGCTTAACGATTACTTCACATGATGACGAATCCACTTTACGACGATGGTCTAAATGTGTTGTTTTTTTCGCTTTGCAAAGATCGGTTCCCTGCTTCGGGAACCGATTCTTCGCATTATGACGATCAAAACAGCTGTTCGTTGGCTTTTCAAAATGGCCGCTGGGTGCTCAAAAGGGCTCCCTGCTGTGCTTAGGGACGGATTCCTCGCTATACAGGCACTGAAAATGGCTGCCGTATGGAGGATCTCCGCTGGACGGGGACTTTTTAGCCCATTGGAAAGCATTAACCAGGTTTTAGTGTGTTTCAATGGGTTTTTTATTTTCGCTTTACAACATTTTCACTCTACAGCGATTTCGCTGGAACGAATTAACGTTGTTAAGCAAGGCACCACTGTATTTCAGTCATCATAGCTCATCAACCTGCCAACTCTAAATCAGCTAAACTCTTTTCTCACCCAACTGTAAAAAAGTTTCTCAAGGGACTTAATAATATTTGCTAACCACAACAATGTATTATCCCTCAATGGTCTTTACAACTGGTCCTCAGTGTTCTTATGCATCCACTCTTTGAAACGATGGGATCTTCCAATCTCAAATTGTTATAAAAACTTATTTCCTTTTAGTGATAACATCAGCTAAACGAGCCAGCGAACTCGCTGCCCTCCATTCCAATCCACCTTTCCTCCAATTACATCTGGATAAGGTCACACTGTATTTTCAATGTTTCCTTTTTACTCAGATTGTTTTTTAATCAACCAATCATCCTATCAACTTTTTTTCCATTACCATCAACACCTCTTGAGCACATGCTCCATTCACTCGACGTAAGACGCTCTCTTGCCTTCTATATTGACAGGACTAAGCCTTTCCGAAAATCAAATAGACTTTTTCTATGTTTTCATGGTCCTCACAAGGGAGCACCAGCTTCCCCATAATCTATCTCTAGATGGGTCATCCAAACCATCTCATTGGCTTATGAGTTATCAGGCAAATCACCTCCTGAACACCTAATAGTACATTCTGCAAGAGCCCTGTCAACATCTACTGCCTTCCAACGTGGGATTGAACTACCTCACATTTGCTGTGCGGCCACATGGTCTACCCCCTTGACCTTTATCAGGCATAACCATCTAGATGTCAGAGCACGGAGCGATGCTGGTTTTGGCAGAGCTATTCTGGCATCCTTCCTACCATGACGGCCCACCATCCGGTAAGTGAGCTTGCTAGTCACCCAATTGTGTGCATTCACAGAGGCCACGAAGAAGAAAAAGAGGTTACCTACCTGTAACCATAGTTCTTTGAGTAGTCCTCTGTGAATCCACACATCCCACCCATCCTCCCCTCTGTCTGTCATGTTCATGTGTCTTTAAGCTCTAGAAACATCCAAGACATTCAGCGCAGGTGCAGAACAACCCATTGTGTGGATTCATAGAGGACCACTCAAAGAACTATGGTTACAGGTAGGTAACCTCTTTTTTTCCTTCTCTTTCAATAAAAAAGGAGATTGAGACTTTGCTGTTGTCTTTTTAGGATGGATGTACCAAATATTTCCTTTTGTTCTTTTAAGTTTAAATCCAGGCTGGTCAAAGGATGGGAATATATTTAATCTCAAATGTTTCTTTTTTTAAAAAACTTTATTTAAAAAATCAAATGTGTTTCTGATTTGCCGAATTTGTCTTACAGTCCCTTTCCCCAAGTCTACCAATGTGGTTTTGCCTTTAAGATCTATGATGTGTAAAAACTTAAGATTTAGATGCTTTTATTGAAAATAGAGTGGCAGTTAATTTACATTTCATTGCATCTTTTCCTGTTTATTAAACATTTGTTTCTTTGGAAAAGAATGTATAGGACAAATTATTTTTTTTGGTAAAGAATGTTACCATATGAGCACTTAGTAAACAGTTCCCTCCATCCCCCAACAATTAGCTTTTTGAGTGCTAGTAAATTAAGGACAGACAGATCCGCCCAGTTGTACCTCTGTAATAGATATGGAGACGGGACTTAAGCTGTGTGCAGAGAGGATGGGATGCTCCATGCCAGTTTGCTTCTTCATCTCATGGAATCCACACACTCACCCATGGCTTCCAAGGAACTGCTTTGGTTTATAATATCTTTGATGTATAAACAACCTTTTAAATATTTTTCCTATCTCTTCAGTTTATTTATTTAAAAAATATTGTAACCTATATTGTCCAAGGTTGCATATGTTTCAGTCAAAACATGTATAAAAATAATATCAAGCTAATGCAGCA